GAGGAAGTAAGTAGTGTGTGTGTGTGTGTGTGTGTGTGTGTGTGTGTGTGTGTGGATGTGTGTGTGTGAGGTCATTCTCTCCCCCTCTTTCCCACCCCTCCTCCCAGCCAAATGCTAATTACTGGGTGGGGAGAAAGGAATCTACCAGTCAGGCCCCCAAGTCTTATTATGCAGACAATTAAACAATACCAGATATCTATCTATCTATATCTATCTAGGTATCAATATAAACTGAATAAAGACTTGATGAATAATTACAGCATAGGAAATATGATATCCTAGCAGCAGATAAGCAATGAAACGGTACATTAACAACTCAATTACATCTAAGCAGGTCAATAAAATGAGCTGACCAGCAAGTCTAACTTACTGTGCCTGCTCTCCATTATGATATTTATCTCTATAAGCAGAGGGAGAAAGGATAACTCATGAGAGGCCTAAGTGAAGTATCCAACCTCTCTGCACAAGATGAATGTTGTACCAGAGTTTAACAATTGTTCAGCATTAACCAATGAGGTGTATTTCTTTATCCCAAACTGAACCACGTAATGATCCATCTGAATAACAGTGTATAGAACATAATATGGACCATGAGAAGTAGGTAAGAGAAGTGCATCCATCTGAAAGAAAGGGAAGGGAGTGGCTAACTTCATTCCTAGGGTAGGGGACACAACTGTTACTGGAGTCAATAGTAGATGTGCTTACATTTACCAGGGCTACATTTGGCCTAGTGATACATTATGCAACTTTGGCCAAGTTTTGTCATTGACCTCAATGGAAGTGGAATTGACCCTTCTGAAAAATAGGGCAACGAATGCAATGAAACCCGGCCTAAACAAATCATCCCATGGACCTGCAAAACTCTATTTCTGAATAGTGTTGGTTCTTCAGCTTGGGGTTGAACAACGTCTGGAAACTCTGGGGATGTTTTACAGTGCTCTCTTAAACAGAGGGTTGCCTACTAGAGGTAGTTCAGCTTCACTGAACTTACATAACAGGGATGCAGTGAGCCATAGTTAATGTTTTTAAGGGAGGCCTGGATGTCTTAATACACTGGATCTCAACCTTTTCTATAATAATGCCCTTCCAGGTCCCCCTTCTCATCCAGCTGAAATCTAGCCATGGCTCTCCCCTCCCCACCCCCCATTTTATACACAGGGCTTTGTACTTGGTAAAACAAAATGAATTAAGGACAGTGTTTTCAGTCCATTTTTACCACAGCTTTAGCATAGTTTTAAAGACAGTTTTAAAAAATGTTCTCATGTTCTTCCCCCAGGTTGGTTCTATACTGTTTACCTTCTCTACCTAGCTTATGTTAGGGCTTTATATGACTGCCTATCTACATAGTATCTGGGCACTCTCTTCTTCCTTTCCCCTGTTTATTAACCCTGCCTCAAATGATGTTGTCTAATCAATCAAAACAAAAAATATCCTGCTGTCAGTGGTGCCTGTTTATAATTTGCCATATAATTGAAACAAATCATTTCCTTTGGAACGAGGATGCCCCTTTTTGACTCAGGGAAACTGTTGGCTTTGGAGCAGCCAGCCAGCCTTATGGATTTCATTCAAAGTGTTTAAACTGCATGTTCAATCCCAAAGCTATCTACCTAGGCATTCTTACCACACTCATCACTGTAATCTTCTATCGCAAAGTTAATGGTGTTATGCCAAAGATGAATTGTTGGTCCACACACTAAAGTTAATGGAGTTACACCAGTATGTATCTGACTCATTATGGACCAGGTGTTGGTACTTTTACTCATGCAATAGTCCCAATGGCTGATGAAAAGTAAGAAGGATTGAGTCCTACATATCTCATGACTCTCTGTGTAAGAGTAAGCATCTTCCCCAGGGCCTCTGGCCACATGTTCTCCTTTCCTCACATGCTATGCACCATGATGTCTATCAGGGATGGTCTAGACAGTATTTGGTCCTGCCATGTGGGCAGGGGACTGGACTCAATGACCTCTCGAGGTCCCTTCCAGTCCTAGAATCTATGAATCTATTATGTTTGCACTTTCACGCTCCACCCCACATGTTGCTGCATTTCAGTGGTGCTGAATGTATGTCACGTGGTGAAAAACCTTGGGACCATTTCCTATATAAATGTATGAAATGTGCGTCTTTACAGTCTAAATTTTGCTTGTCAAGTTAGGTAATGGGTTAAATCACTGCTATTCTGCTTCTCCTGCCCTGAAGACTTTTTTGTGACCAAAAAAAAAGACGTTACTGTGATTTTCAGGAATTATACACACAATTCAAACCCACATAAGGAAAAAACATTGAAAAAATAGGAATATTACTGATCTGAAGAACTGAAATCACACAGAAGGTATCAAAATCCTTCCTGGGTTTGATCATTGGTCCACAGCTCTGTATCTTTTCACCTTATAATGCCAGAAAAAGAGACTAAATGCTAAATGCTCAGTTGCCACAAGCTAATGTTTACACTCCTGAGAGAGCCAGGCAAAAATGGTCCTGAGACAACTCTGGGTTGGTTGGGGGCTGAAGCAAGCACAAAACATAGTCTAATTTACACCAGTTTATTCTGACCCCTAAGGAATCATTATTCTAGCACTGCACACATTATATGCCACTCAAGGATTTTTCTTCAACACAGGAATTCCTAGCTGCCTTTTAAGGAGCCATTCCTGTTGCTTTGTGCTTCCAGAGAACAACAAAGCAACTAGAACTGGGGCTGAGAACCAGGGCTTAAGTCTTTCAAAACCCACCGACACATATAGGAATTGTATGCATATAGGAACCAATCCAGACCCCAGCATCCAGTGTGAGTACCTAGGCAAGTTGCTCTAGGGATATGTAAAGGGGGCAGAGAGAGAGGAATCTACCCTCCAGGCGGTGGAGCTGCTATGCTTAGATTGTAAGCTCTTTGGAGCAGGGACCACCTTTTTGTTCTGTGTTTGAACAGCAGCTATCACAATGGGGTCCTGATTTATGATTAGAGCTCCTAGGCACTACAGTAATACAAATAATAAAAAATAATACTACGGGGAGGCTACTTCAGCTCAGTGCTGCACAGGGTATATGAACATCCCACAGGTTCTATGACAGGCCCACACTGGCTTCATTGCAAAAGAGCCCTCTATGATTGCAGAAGAGGGAGTTGGATTTTCCCCTTAAAAATATTTTTCCAGCTGAATAACAGAGAATGCCCAGCAAGGTACGTCAGCTTCAGTCTTCAGATCCTGGTGACTTAAGGCCGATCCTTACTTTTTTCTGTTCAGACAAGTTTATAATGGCCTTCATCTCAGCCTCAGAGAACCTGGGGGTCAATGCCACACTGTCATAGTCAAATTCTTCATCAAGGGAGAACAGCTGAACTTCATCCCCACAGAGCTGCAACAGGGAAAAATATAGAAATATAAATAAAACAGCAGCAAGTAACGATAAAGAAGCTCAAAACATAAACTCCTGATTAATATTTAATTAAACTAGTTTTTTAGACTCCAGCACTCTCAGCTGATTAAGCTGTTTTTAAGTAAAAGAACAAATTCAATTATTCAATTTGACCTAATTTAAGCCATTTAATGTGCCCCATTTGTACCATACTGTATCGGAATGAATATCATTAACTAATTTTTGCTCAAGGCAAGGAATCAAAAAACCTCCCTTGCATACATCTATTACATTTCCACCACTTGTAGCAGCAGGGTTGTGACAATATGGAAAAAAATATGTAGAGCTATGTTAAGTTGCAAGGATAGGTCCCACAACTTTAAGATTTTGGCTAGTTTTAAGTGCTGTTTACTCAACTGATACTACATTTTGTAGCAACGGGAATGCCTATGAGGAGCAAAGAAGCATAATCAATTTTCAGTTATTCAAACCCTGCAAGGCCTGTTTCCTTTAACCAAAGAAGTTGCTTGCAGAGGTGTGCAATGGGTTATTTGGTTGATGGGAGGTACAGTATTGCAGAATTAGTCAGTATTGGCTCAGATGACATATGCTGCATTGAATATTTTTAATTATAAATGTGTTTTGAAAAGACTTCAGTTGGCACAATTTATAAATAGGATAAATAAGTAAATCATAATATTTTAAAGGCTGCATATTAATAAGGACAAGCAGAGGGACCATAGCATAATATGTTTTCAATAAGACACTAGATAAAATTAATCCTAGAAATTACAGATGGGGACATCTTGTTAGCACATCTTTTACATCCTCCCTGCTATCCACCAGTACAGGATTGTTCCCTGTGCTTTGCCCAATTTAGCATAATATGTCTCTGGGTAGGTCTACATTGCACTGTAAACCCGGGTGTGTGGCACCTAGGTTTGTGGACTTGTTGTTTCCAACCCCATGCTTGAGCGTCCACCCTGCTTTGTAAACCTGGGTTTATAGTTGCTGGACCTGGGTCTCACAATTGTGCTAACATGTCCATACTGTACTACACAGTCCTTCTGACTCGAGTCTGTGTTTCAAGCTGCATCCACACTGCTAAATGACAGGGCTTCGACCCAAGTCACAGTGGGACTCAGGCTCTGATCCACCCTACAAGCAGGGCCCTAGTTCTCAGGATCTGAGTGCTTGCTGACCCAAATCAGACTGATTTGTTTATGGACAGAAGTGGGGCTTGGACTCTAACCTGAGTCAGAGCCTGGCCTCAGTGCACAGTGTAGACAACCCTATGGGGCTTCAATAATCATAGACAATTCATTATCAGTAAGATGTTTTTTTCTTGAGCATCAAAAAATCTATGCTACAAAGTGCTGAACACTCCAGCCCCACTCTAGCAAAGTGTTTAAACATGCTTAATGTCATGCATGTGGTTAATCCCACTGAAGTCAATGAGGTTATTCATTTGCTTAAAGTTAAGCACAAGCTTAGATGCTGTGCTGGATAAGATCATTTTGCAAGATTGAGACCCAAATGCTTTGCATGTGATGGGAAACTTCAGAATTCACAAGTCGAAAATATCAAGAGTGTGGCACAAATCAGCATGTTACACCAGCTTGAGTGCAAAACAGGGAAAAGATGTGTGCCTTAATCCCCTGAGCACCTTTGAAAATCTCAGCCTAGACTTGTTTTGCTCTGTCTTCTGTTTTCCACTTGAGTTTGTGTAACATGCAGCTTTGTGCCAGATGCTCAACATCTTACTATTTGCACACTGGGGTTGAGATTTTTTCATCAACTGGTAACACCTTGGATTGTTCAAGGGAGGGGAGGTCAGATGGTGTAACAAGGGGCAATGAGATAAAATGAATGGGAAAATGTGAGCGGAATATCAGGAACAATTTCCTGAGCATGAGCTCTGTTACACTGCAGGCTAGTCTCCCATGGGGACTGTCCCATCTCTTGAGTCAGTTTAAATAAGACCAGACAAAGCACTGGAGAACAATTTTGTACTGGCAAGAGGGTTGGCCAGATGACCTCACACTCATAGATCTTTCCTATTTCTAATTCCTGTGATACTATTATTAACTTTTGTCACTCGCACTTTCATGACAGAAACTCTGGTATCAACAATGACCTTGGCAGAAGTAGTAAAATGTAACTTGAAGCAGGCACACATCGGTTTTCTATTATAATCCACCTATTTTTCCCTCAAACAAATTCATTAAATTGTAGTCTATGGAAGGAAATGTCTAGCCTTTACCTTAGATCTCTTACAGTACATAATCCTGGTGCAGAAGTGTTCACCCCACCTCTTTTTCCCCCCCTATATTCCCTTGAAGTTTACACAATCACCTAAATTGATGACCTTTTGCATCAGTTTCCTACCTTTTGGGATGAAAATTGATTTTGATTATTGTGGCATTTAAAGATCCTACATCAATGTGTTTGCAGGATGAGCAGCTTTTCAGGCTGCAGAAGTGAAAGCAGGCATGGAAGCTGGTGTGAGAAAACTGCTAAGAATTCTATGTCATAGCATGAAATCCAATCTCAGCTCTTTTTTGTTTCTTGCATACGGATGAAAGCTGTAAAATCCTCAAGGTCTTATTAGGAATTGCCATCTAGTGAAAATTCCAGTTCAGAATACTCCTGCTTCCTATTAATTCTAGTTAGCAACAAAGTTTTGAAACACAGTAACAGGTCTACTGGACTACTAGTTTCAGTGCAAACTTGTAATTTACCTGAAATCAACAAAGTCCAGCAGAATTCAATTAAGACCTATTGAAGGGTTCTTATGGAGCTAACTGGAATTTCCAATCAGGACTGTACAATGGAAGAGGCTTGTGCATCAAGGGAAAGTGACATTTAAATCATAGCACAATGACGAAGTAGTGCGTCATCCTGTTGTGTCAAAATGTCATTGGGTCATAGTTCAACAATATTTAGGAATCTCTGAAATTTATTTTGAGACTCACAGACATCCATCAATGAGCCAGGATTAAGAACATAGGATCACTTCGGGGATAATCCTGGAAAAAAGAGGCTTCCTCAAAAGAAGAGGAAATCACTCCAGCCCATATTTAAAATTCACACTTGTGTTCATTAGCTACTCAATTTGGGGGTCACATTATCCCATGGGATTTCTGCTGAGATTATGCAAGAGGTTATATTGCCACAATGAATCTCACATCATAAATCATAGACATTAGAGTTAGATATAGAAAAGATCTGTAAGATCACCAGATCCACCTCCTGCAAGAGTAGGTTTTGAGCATACAGTAGATATTAACCTGATCATACTCTACACTTGATTTTAGTCACAAGGCTAAGAAGCAATCATGATAATTTTAATGAGGTTTTTTTGATGGTCCAGCACTAACAATGCAGCAATGTGTGTACCCTCATTATGTTGAAGCATGACTCTTGTTTTGTTTTGTTTTGTTGGTGGGAGGAGGGGATGGCTTACAATCAAAAATATTTACCCTCCAGTTTGCAAAGTCTGCTGGAAAAAAACCAAAGGAAATGCACAACATTAAATATGTGGGAGTAGAATCTTCCAGGTCTCAATGAGTCTGACTAGTATTAACTTAGCTTTAAGTCTCTTCAGAAGAATTAGAATGCTTTCCCTTCACTTTTTGGACGCACTTTCAGAAGTTCAACTTCTATATTTCTGTTCTATGCAAATGGCTTAAATTTCATCACCCTTCTGGTGCTGAACAGACTTACAGTTAGGAAAAAAGAGTCTGATCCTGCACGTGAGTCGTCCCACTGACTTCAGTAAGGAATGGATCAGATTCCAGATCTGCAGGAGGTCAGTAACTGTGGCTCCACTGAAAGGATTAGTGTTGCCGCCAAAAATCTTGTTCTCTGCAAAAGCTAAAACTACTGACTCTAGAACTGATCAGACTGCACGAATGGTATTTATGTGTCTTGATCTGTTTAATTTCCTTTCATCAGCTGTACCTGTCTAATTCCTGAAACTCTTTCTATTGATTTAAGTGTGCTTTGGGTCAAATCTTAGGTGCAGAACGGTATACTCATGGTTTTTTTATAAATAACATTCAAATAAAGCTCAGTTGAGTCAATATCCACAAACAAGCTCTCTTGACCCACCAAAACTAAAGTCCTACTCCCTCAACCCACTCAGTACCCATTCCACTAATTCTCCCAGGAGAAGCCTGTTAAAATGCCATGGAGTATGCCTTTAAGATCTAACTGATCTATCTTAATTTTCTAAGTGTTCAGTTAAGAGAAAAATCCAAAAACAAACCCTATAATGTATTATTAAATCTCAAAATGTTTTTCCATTTGCTGTAGCTGTAACAGTGTCTGATACCATGATTACAGGTAATTAAATTAAGAAAACCTCAGATTGCAGTAAACCTTTGTAGCAGTTCTACAAAATCAAATCTGTCACCTCTGCACCAAAGCTATTACGGTAGCACACATTCAGCCACTATGACCTTGTCTTGATTTGCATTTAACTAAACCATTTCATGAACATGCAGATGTGTAATGGAAAAGTGTTTGTAAAAAAGAAAAATGTACATGTAATTCCAAATGAAATTGGATGTAAGAGTAGAACACACCAGACTTCACTCTATCTCCTCATTGCAAGTTTCAAAAAGTCTAGTTCAGCTGTATGTCTATTTGTGTGCTTCATCTCTCTGGCAAGCGCTGAAAGCAGTGGATTTGGTTGGTTTTTATCTTCTCCCAAGTATTAGTTCATTTCAGCCTCGTATGAAGGAAATCAGTCCAAAGGCCTTTAGATTGCAAATTGAAATTCTGATTTATTTCAAAAGGAAAAAATTCTGCTACGGACCACCGAATCCCTCACAGCTGAACAAAAACAACAGTGAATCAAGTTATTATCTTGTTATTTTTGCCTAAGGAGCTGAGAGAAATATGTGTATGTCTAATTTAACATCTAATTGAAATCTTTTCTGGAAGCTCTCTGGGAATAGAATTTGTGCTCTATTAGAGAACTGCCAGTTTTCTTAAGATTGCCCATGTGATTTACTCAAACGGAGACACCTCTGAAGGAAGAATCATTTTCATTCACAGCTACCACAAGTCCAAATTAAAGAAGAAAGAATGTAATGTTCAGATTAATAACTGGAGCATTTTGCTGGAGGCCACTTTGCAAAGTAATGTTTTAAATAAAACACCCTAAATTGAGAGTTTCAAGAGTCTATTAATAGTTGGCAATTCAGTTTCTTTTTATTTAATCTCTGTGCAGATACATTAAACTAAAAGCCTTGATTCTGTCCTTCCTAACCTCTATTTTTGCATAACTCGGGGCAATCTACAGTTCTCTTGTTTAAATTATGTAAAGGGTTCTCCCCACAGATAAACACTGCTGAATGTATTGTATGTTCGAGGGAAAACTGACCAGCTCAATACCCATGTGGAAAAGACAGAAAAAATGTGTGTAGGCAGAGTACACATGAACATAATGATGAACTAAGATACTTGGAGAAAGGAAGGATTGTCTGGAGGTTAAGGCACTGAGGTGGGAATCAGAAAACCTAGCTTCAATTCACACTTTTGCCATAGATTTCCTGTGTGACATTGGACAAGTCACTTAACCTATAGGTACGTCTACACTGCAAAAAACAAAGAAACCCATGGCAACGATTCTCAGAGCCCAGCTTAATGGATCCGGGCTCATGTGGCTCACACTATGGGGCTAAACATAGCAGTGTAGATATTCTCACTCAGTCTAGAGCCCGGGCTCTGAAACCCAGAGAGAGGGGTGGATCTCAGAAGCCAAGCTCCAGCTCGAGTGGGAACATCTGCACTGCTATTTTTAGCACTGTAGCGGGAGCCACGCGAGCTTGAGTCAGTTGACCCAGGCTCTGAGACTTGCTGCCGCAGCGGGATTTTGCAGCATAGACATACGGCATTTTCTTCCTCTCACCCTTTGTCTGTCTTGTCTTGAAACTGGAGGTTCTTTGAGGCAAGCCCTTGCTTTTATTATGGGTATGTACAGCACTTAACACAATAGGACCCTTATCTTGGTATAAGACTATGGGTAAAATTGTGAACCTACTGAAATCAATGGGAGTTTTGCTACTGACTTCAGTGGGGACAGGATTTTATCTTGCAGGTGCTACCATAATACAAATAATAATAATAATAATTATTAATAATGACACAGTGATTGGCACTATATAAATACTTTAACTGGACAGAGATAGGTTATGAGGGAAGGAAGCATATATGTATCGTGAGATGGCAAGTTTATGTTCATCTAGAGAGCATGTGGGGGAAAGAGAGCAAGAAAGGAGGGGAGTGGTGAAGCAGAAATGAATACACAGGGCGGAGAAAAAGGATGGCAGGGTTGAAAGAAAGGCATGAGCAGGAGTCGAGAAAGGGATGACTGTCTGGGCTAGGGATACGAGTATTCTAGGGTAATGGACTCATATCCTGCAGTAACACTCACAAACTGCAGTTTGTGACAGCATTCGTACAGCACGTGGTACTTTTACTATAAGGGGAAGCACACATGCCTACAACCATTGGAGAAAGTGGAAGCTAAGTTGCTAGCCAAAATGAACAAGTTACTGAGTCGCTCATCCTTGTTCTCATTGCATTTGAGAGAGGGATAATTTTCAGGAAGATGAGCGTCTCTTTAGGCACACTTGCATGTAATTTCCCCTCAGTAAACACATTAACTGTGGCCATTTGATGAAAACTACACGTTCTCCCAAATCCCTCACACAGTAGGTCAGTGACATGGACTCTCCTTCAGCATCCTGTAGCATACTAGTGGTTTGGAGTATTTTTAGGGGGCGGGGGATGGAAAAGCCAAATAGATAGCCATGTTTTATTGCCCTCCTCCAACAGCTGTTTTGATGGGCTGGGACATGTTTGGGTTGAAAGAAGGGATGGAGATGATTGTGCTCTTTTGAGCCTCTAGAAATAATCTTCTCCCATGTCCCATGGCAGGTTCCCTGCCCTGAAAAGCTTAGGACTTGTTTATCAAGGTACTGAGCACTCACAGCACCCATTGACTTCAATTGGAATTGTGGGAGCTCAGTAACTCTGAAAATTAGCCCCTAACTATATTGTCTAAGTGGATGGCCATAAACACGTGTATAATTTAAGGTAGGAACTAGCTTCATTTTGTATCCGGTAAAACATTAAGCATGTTAGCACACCTTCACATCCTTCCATTGTCCCCTATAACACTCCGTTTATTTTATGTACAGTATAAACTCAGAGTTAGAACACATCAGAAATGGAGGATGTTCGTAGCTCTGAAATGTTCGTAACTCTGAACAAAATGTTATGATTCTTTCAAAGTTTACAACTGAACATTGTCTTAATACAGTTTTGAAACTTTACTATGCAGAAGAAAAATGCTGTTTTCCCTTTTTTTTAATAACAGGTTTCAGAGTAGCAGCTGTGTTAGTCTGTATCCGTAAAAAGAACAGGAGTACTTGTGGCACCTTAGAGACTAACAAATTTATTAGAGCATAAGCTTTCGTGGACTACAGCCCACTTCTTCGGATGCAT